TCTCCTGTGAGGAATCGTGGAAAGTCTGGTCTCTATGCTATGATTAGTTTTGTGGAAAATATGAAGAAATTACTGATCATTTGCTGTTCTCCTGTAAGGAATCGTGGAAAGTATGGTCTCTATGCTATGATTGGTTTTGTGGAAAATATGAAGAAATTACTGATCATGTCCTCCTGTGAGGAATCATGGAAGGTATGGTGGTCTTTATCTTATGATTGGTTTTGTGGAAAATATGAAGAAATTACTGATCATTTGCTGTTCTCCTGTGAGGAATCCCGAGATGTATGGTCTCACACTGACTCTCTCACGTCTTTAAGACTGATGTGGTCCCTGTTCAAAAAAAAAAAGACTGATGTGGTCCATGTGGATGTCCAGCACTATACAGTTTAGTATTTAATTTTATTGTCTTTGTGGAAATTTTTAAATCAAATATTAAATTTTTATTTTTTTAATTTGAATATATGAATATTATTTTATTTTAATTAAAATTATCATTTATTATATTATTATTTATTTTTTAAAAAATTTTAAAAAAATAAAAAAGATTGTTAAATTTCATATTATCATTTGAAAAAAATACTATTTAATTTAAAATTTAAAAATTTTATATTTTTAGATAAATTAATAACAAAATTGTTATCCTTATTTATCCTATCTTCTCAAATGATAAAATTTTCATATTTTTTTATTTGAAAATTACCCATTGTAAATTCCATAATTCCCGCCTGTAGGATCCATGTTAGGGAGGCAGCGATGAGGCAAAAAAAAATATTGTTAGAGATGATGTGGGCAAGGTGGGTCTCATAAAGTAAGGTGAAAAAAAAAAAAAAGAATGAAAAAGGCCTAATCAGTGTGACCGTCACACTTAACGGTCAATAAAGAGCACCGTTAACTTACATTGATGGAGGAATGACATTAACATTCTTTTGCATTGTAGAGGGGCGACAAGTGGAGTTAATTAATAGTAGAGGGCTGACATGGAACCAATCCATAATAGAAGGTTTAGATTGCACTATTTTTAATAGTAGAGGGCGATAGATGGTATTAACCCCTTTCTAGAAAGTTTAGGTTGATTGAAATAGGCAAAACCATAAGTTAAGCCCCTGAACCAATCCCATAATCGCTATTAAGCCCCTAGACTGTAATTGATGCATATAAGCCCTTGAACTCGGGGATCAAAGCAATTAAGCCCTTCTTCTTACACCAACTTAACTGCCGTTTGGGACTGCTCGCCTGACTTAACTGCCGTTGAGGACACACCCCGCTTGGCTGCTTGGATGGCAAAATATTGCCATGT